GAAATTCCTGTGCTCTTCTTTTAGAGTAGCAAAAAGAAAAGACTCTCCTGTATAGTCATCAACACATACCCTTCCAATTTGTGTACATTGCTGTTGGAAACACCCCATTATTTCCTCCTCCCATCCCAATCTGTACATCTTACCCTCGAGAGCTTACACTAGAACACACTAACCAGCGGTCTTTCAAATCGAACTAAACCAAGACTGCCTTTGAGAAAAAAGAGAAAACAGATATCACTTTCTACCTATTCTCTTTTTCCCCCTCTCCATCAAAACTGGCTGTGCAAATTCCCAAGTGTCCTTTTTTGGTTTGAGTGGACCGCTCTCCGCTGGCCCGACCCTGACCTCCACCCTTCACTCTTTTTAACACCAATTGTCGATTTGTCCCGTCTCTAAGTATGTGAATTTAGGAAGAAAACTGTGCCTTCTGTATCGTCCTATCATCGAGTACACCCGCTACTACAAGCCACAGTTGGCACGGATAAGCCAAAACCAACAAGTGAGAATGAAAGGAGACTCTGACTATGCAAAAACATTATATAGGTAGGCTTAAACTCACACAGTCAACCTACTTCGCGAAAATTAACTACACCTTTGAAGCACAGCGTTAGTATAACCGAACCGCTTGAGACCCATCAGTGTCGATCTACTCTCCCCAAACCGGTTCCGTGTGATCAGTTGAGACGAGTAAAACCGAAAGGACGTAGAAAAAGCAAGGTCGGAATCAATTCATACAACCACGAAATGCATGTCAGGATCATCTATTGCAATCAACGAAACAGACACCACCAACAAGGTTTTGTTTCAAATTTCTGACTTGCAAGTGACGATAACGAGCTGCGCAAGTAGTCAAATGTACATAGCTTTGGTGCCATTATTTGCGATACCACATTTGCTGGGTTTTCATGTTCTTTATCTTCTTCTGCAATTGCAGAATCGAGTACAACAGCGCTTCAGCAGTGGGTGGACAACCTAAAAAGCGAAAAACCGATAGACTCATCACGGCTGACTACTCATTAGTTGTACAAGGACAAAGTAAACACCATGTTAATAATAATCTAGATGCCAAAGTAAGTTTCAACAACGTAAGACAATTCAAAGAATGGCAAGGCATTTCATTCGCACCAGGAACAAAAATATCGATCGGGATAATGCGATCACAACCGCGAACAACACTGTAGCTATAGTGATAGTAGCCACCGCCATTTGCGCAAGAGCCCATCGAAATCGCCCATTTTGGGTGTGGCATCTGATCCCAGATACGACGAAGAGCAGGAGCCATTTTATTAGTTAATGTGCCTGCAACGATCATCAGGTCGCATTGACGCGGACTCGCTCGGAATACTACGCCAAAGCGATCCATGTCATATCGAGGAGCAGCCATATGCATCATCTCAATAGCACAGCAGGCCAAACCGAATGTAATTGGCCAAATGGAGTTCTAAAAGTGATGCACGTCAGAGGATGAGTACCTTCCGAGCCCAATTGATTAAGTCATCCAGACGGGCAATAGCATATTCAACCTTATTAGATGGAGTCACTCGAAATGGACTATATGGTTTATACTTGCTAACTTCTTCACAAGGATGGTCGGGATTGGGAGCACTAGAAGGTGAGGCACAAAATAATTCCTACGGCTGCTTCAGACTGCTCGGTACTGAAGATTTCGAGGAACTGTACAATGCACAAGGCGGGCAAAACTTCGAAACGCAGACACCTCGCGACTTCAGCACCAGGGAAAGCATCGCCACCGTACGCTTCGTCGACGTAGAGTCCGGAATGACCGCCTCTTCAGAAAACTTAAAACAAATCATCCCACGTTATATAAAACAATTGCAAACAATTAAAATTGAATTAAAACTGTAATCTGTTTATGGCAATGGTTTTCTGCGCAAAGAAGAAAGAGTGAACATTTTAATTAGTGTGCCTATGCACGACTGACTCAATGCACAAAAAACGAAATCCTACCATTTTAAAGCTATTGTGAACCAATCAAGAGGTAATGGTAGCAAAAATGCGAAGTTTAGCAGCATGAGTATACTGCACTCTTATAATCGTTGCTATACTGATTTCGGTGTTTCATCTTACCATACATTTTTCGCCGTAATTGAACAGAAAAGAGTTAACGTTCCTAAAAGTTATCCTTATCTAGCCGCCATGAGCAGCTTTCGGCCCAGCACATTGTTCTCCCGCTATAGCTTGATTTGATCTCAATCGCAATGGCTTTCATTTATTCATCCGCCCGCGATTCCTAGTTCACCATGTAAATCGCTAAAAGCGTTTTGGCCAACATGAGCAACAAGCAACGACGTTAATCAACAATCCCTCCCTTTAATCTACAAACTTATTTTGGTGAGAACAAGTACAAGTTTTGCGTTTTGGGACCTCCTATTAAGTTGAGGAAGAAATCAAGCTGGGCTGAATGCTTGATTTTAAGAATGAAAGGCGAGAGATTTGGCCTCACTTTAATCCGATGGTTAGACCGCAAGAACGAGGACAAGTAACAAAGAGATCTTATGTTATACAGGTAGTCAAACGAGCAAAGTATTATAAAAATACAACTTTAAGAGCTCAAGAGGCTTTCGAATCCAAAAATCCTCTCATCTCATGGATCCTCCTGCCTGATTGATCATGTGCCCATAACTATGCAGCTATCGACTACTTTTCTGCTCAGTTTATTGTTTCCATTCGCAAAACAATTTTAATTATTTTGCTCTCTGCTCCTCTTTCAAGTATGGAGTCTAGAAGGGATATAAGACATGCTATCATGTGTGGTAGTATTTTGCAATAAATTATACCATTCAGACTCCGTAATTTTTATTTTGATTGCTAAACCATGTGATTTTTATTTCCAAAATTCTTGTAGATGTCTTTAACGCTTGAAATGGAATTGACGTAAGCGGAGCGAAAGAGTGGTACTACACTTTGTATGGAATTATGATAAGCTTTTTAGACTGATTGGAAAGCAACATCAATAAAACCGGGTCACGCGACTAATTGCCTCTACTCGTCTTATTCGTGCAAATGTTGGCATATGCCTGGCTAATCAACAATTTATCCGCCAGCAATAAAATTTCTTGGTAAAAAATTCTCATAAGCATATAAAGCTTGACTTTTTGTGCGTAATTTCGCCACAAAGTTTGACGTTTCATTTAGCAATAATTCACACACCGGTAAGTTTGCATTCAATTCTGGTAGAAGTTCTTTTAAAAGTGATTCCAATTTAATTCAGCATACCTAGTAAAAATGGTTAACCGATTACCATGTAACAACAGGCAAAAGAAAATAAATTTCCGGTATACAAGTACTAAATATATGAGCCGGCGAATACTGAATTGGGGGAAAAAAGTTAAAATGGAGGTTGTCCTGCTCGCACACAATTCCACTATTGTTTGGCAAATGCGAACACAACTGTGGACGACGTGCAGTTCCGGTTGGGAAGGAGTCATCGTAATGCACAAATTACAAGTTGTCCAACCACTACAAAACAGTGGATTGGCAAATACGGCTCGTAAACAACTATGCAATGTGAGAGGAGCGGAAGATGGGAATGAAGGCGAGGTGATGTGTGTGTGTGCGAGTGAAAGAGGAGCGATTTCCAAATCTCGGTGTTGGATGGAAGAATAGGGAGGACTGATGCAGTGGAGAATGCACCAACGATGGTGGAGATGAGGATGTGGGAAGGTGGGGAGATGGAGGGAAGAGTGAAAGCGTGACAACATGTGTGAGATGTGTTGTTTGGTGAGGAGGCCACCTCTCGCCCACTCTCCGTCCTCCATTCCCCAACACTGGTGTTACTGTGTGTTGGAGCACCACGACGGAAAGGGGAGCCAGTGGACTGAGAATTGCGCATTTGCCAAACACTGTGTCTCGGGAGGCACGAAACACACAGTGAGACATTTGCATAGCTCTCCCTCGTCTCTGTTCCCATCGCCTACGCAGCTGATTGAAAGTCAATAATGGAATTGAGTGCAGTCACGGCTACTGCCAACACCACTGCTGATGCCTATGCCGATGCGGACGACAAGAGAACGCCATGGCCATACCGGTGACAATGACGTGGAAGGGCTACACTGGCATTGGTTGGAGGGATGTGATAAAGGGGAGGAGAGGGGAGTGGGGAGTGGAAAGGCAGAAGTGGAGGTGGTTGCATAGTTCCTCCACATTTGGAAGGACCTTGCACGTTTTCACTCACCATGATGACTATTAGGTGTGCCACTTTTCTCGAAGGCAGGAAGTCAAGTTGCGGTCATCTTTGTTCTCGTCCACCATCGTTTCCCACCTCCCTCACTGTCTCCCACCATGGCGCATGTGACGCGTGTTTGGTGGATGGGAGACGAGAGCGCAACTCAGCACTCGACGAATGTCACGAGGGCTGTGAAATGTGGTATGAGGTCATGCGTATTGTGGGGAGAATGTGAAGAGGACAGCAATGTCCCTGACTCACCAGCCCCATCTGCCTCCCTCCTTCCACCTTCCACATTCACCTACTTCTATGCGGCATGTGGATGCACATGAGATGCCGTCTCTTGACCTCCTCACTGTGCACTGTGCGACTCTCAACCACCTCCTCCACTCCTTCAAACACATACACACACACACACACAGAGTGAGAGAGTAGAGGAGAAGAGGGAGAGGGATGAGGAAGACCTGTGAGTAGTGAATTTGTGTTTGTGTGTGCATGATGGACGTTGTCAAGTATGCGATCTTGC